TGTAATACCTCAAAACGATTCCTACACCCTATACCCAGAATCTTAAACTAGGTTCCTGAGTGACTCCCAAATAATAAGGGTACCCTTTTTCTTAGTATTGAGGGGGCGCCAAAGTAAAAAGGGCAAAAGGGTACTACTCAGGAACCTAGTAAACCCTAAACTAAACCCGAAGCCTCTCCCGCCACGCCACTGGTACTGCAATGGGCGTCTTCTCAAACTCCCATGACGAGTCCAGATCCATCAACTCTGCCTTTTGGATGTAGGGTTTAGGGCTCCTTTTTTAAGTGTTTTTGTCTTTATGGGTTCCTTTAAGCGTTCAAGGTCTTTTGACTGGTTCTATAAACGCTTCACAACCGAACTTAGGGTTTAGGGCATTGAGCGCGGGGGGTGTTGGTGGCTGTGAGGTTCGGATCGCAGATTTTGGGATATACCGTTGAAGGCTAATTTGAGATTCCACAGGCGTGCCATGGATCCTTTGTTAACAACAAGAGCCGCACCACAGCAGGGGCTTCGGCCACCTGACACAGGCATACACAGCAGAAGCATATCAGAACGCAAATTCAAAAGACTCTTGCGCTGCCGCAGTTTTTTCAATCTTGCGGCGCAGTCCGTTCTCAATACATTCTGAAGGTCCCCTACTGGAAGGTAGGTGGTGGCTGTGCTGGCTGAGTTTTTCCCACTGCTGCCAATCATCATCATACTTCGTCCAGGCCCGCCGCTCATCTGACTTCCGCGAGGCCCACGCGTCTGGCCCAGCCGTCTTGCGCAGCGTGTGCCCAAGGGTCTTGGCCAGTGTGTGCCCAACCGTCTCGGCCCGGGGAATGCTGTCACGACTCCACTAACCAGTCACGAGTCCTAACTTTGCAACGCGACCGTGTCGACAAGCACCCCTCCGTATCGGAAGAGCGAAGGCATTCGCTCGGACTCTTCAGCGGACTTTTTCGACCCGTTCCGAGAGTCTTGGTGCGGTTTCTGGCCTGCGGACTTCGAGTCTCTTAGAGACTCACGTACGCGACCTGGGTTCTGTACGAACAGCGCGACTCACGGGCGGGTGTGGTGGGAGCCTTTTGCTTTGCAACCTCGACCCGACAAAAGCTTCGGCGTTCTTCGAGCTGCGAAGCTAACGTGAAAAGCGAACTGAAACGAACGTGACTGCGTTCTGCTTGTCACTCTTTGCACACGTGCAAAACACGACAAGCACCCCTCCGTATCGGAAGAGCGAAGGCATTCGCTCGGACTCTTCAGCGGACTTTTTCGACCCGTTCCGAGAGTCTTGGTGCGGTTTCTGGCCTGCGGACTTCGAGTCTCTTAGAGACTCGCGTACGCGACCTGGGTTCTGTACGAACAGCGCGACTCACTCCACTCAAGCGCGCTGTTCCTCCACTCCTCGCGCGCCCAGGGTTTCTGCGAACTTCGTGAACTCCGTGAAGAGAGTAGAGTCTGGCGATTGACCCAGCGTCAAGAGCCATTTGTAGGCCGAAGAAAAGTCGAACTCGCACTTCCTGCACTGTAGTTCCTCCGCTAGCGTCCAGTCATCTCTGGAGACTCCGTCTGAAGCGTTTGCCGCCGATGTCACTCTGTGGAACGACAGCGAAATTCCTTTGTCGGACAGGAATCTCGAGAAGCAACCTAAGACCTTGGTGAACAGAGCATCCCGCGAAAAGCCTTTCTGTAGGGCGTGCTCCGCTGCGGAATTGTCCACGAAGCACAGGATGTGACCTCGAAAAAGACTGGAGACCGAGATCACTGCGAACACCTGTGCCAACATCTCTAGCCAAAAAATGAAAGCCTTCGATGTTGCCGTCCTCCGTAGAGCTTCTTTTGGGACCTCGGATCGGAAGGCCATCCTGCGACCTGAAGGCGGAATGAAAACTGCTCCCCAACCGTTCGAACTGTCCTGAAGTACGTCGCGAGGGACTCCGTCTCGCAGCCACCGGTTTGCTATTCTCTTGGATCCCTGTATGTTGATGTATGCATCCGCATACAAAACACACATTCGGACATCCTCAGGCTTCAGCGGTATGCGAACTGGCTTCAACGTTGGCAACAACTTCTCTAGCTCCTGGAGGGCGGACCTGAGTGACGAATTAAGCGCCAATGGTTTGTTCAGCCCGGACTGTTGACCTGCGAAAATCGGTTTCAGCAGAGCCTTGCCCGCCATCCCGAAAACCCACGAACAGGCGAAGTTGAGCTTTCCCGCGAGCTTGGCTGCTTCTTGAGGGGAGAGACAGTCCTCCTGGAGAATCTCGCGAATCTTGGCCACCAGTTTGTCTATGCGGCTCGTTCCCGGAGAAGCGAACGGATCAGACCTTGTGACTTGCCATTCCACTCCCAGCAACGTTTGCGAACTGGAAGGTGGCTTCGCCTTCGACTGTTTCATTCTTGTGCCGATGATCCGGTGGAGTTTCTGGAAAGACGCGAAACCAGGTCTTGATGTTCTCGATGACTCGACCTTGTAAAAGTCGTCGACGAAATGCGCTGCCGCCAGCATGAGTAGCGCGATCGACAAGAAGCACACCGCATCTGCGAACCTTATGTAGCCCCATACTGATCCCGATGATCCGAAAGGCAAGACCTGATGTAGCCAGACCTTCTGATCTCCTGCTTGAGGCAGCACTGTGGCGCACTCGTTAGGCGATCTCACAGGGAAGTTTCTGTAGGCTCCCTCGTGGTCGACTGCGGACAGTTCTGGATCCGAGGAAACAGCGACCCGGCGGACCATCGACGCAATGGTGGAAGTCCCCGCATACGGTGGGATGTCGGAAGCCCAACACGTAGCATTGTGTCCGCTCCGAAGCCAGTCGTCGGCTCTTCGAACTTTGTCTCCTTGTACCACAGGGAACGCCTTGGCCGCGAACATCTCGTCGATGTGTTGCTGTACCCATGAGTCCTCGAATGGACCAGCGAATCTGGACTTCTTGACTTCCTCGCGAACCTCAGCGCAAATGGTCTCGGAGTACTCGTCGACCTTAGGTGTTCTCAACAAACGCGATGTATGGGCTTTGTTGTATGACCGAAACTGTTGTCGTGTCCATGGCGAAGAGAACTTCGAGTCTTGTCTCAGAAGCCAACCGCTCCCTGGTGGTAGCGGACCGAGTAGGCGAAAACCCCAATAAAGGTCCGAAATGAGAGATTCCCACTCCGGAAAGTCAAGCAACTGCAGGAGGTGTGCGAAAGTCAACAGTTGAACAACGAACCGAGGTTCTCCGGACTTGTAAACCTGTTGTACGTGGGGTGGAGCCGCTGCAAGCCATTCGTCTTGTTCTTCGGAAAGTTCCTGCACCATGTCCTGGACATCCTCGACCACCGAATTGCGCCACTCCACGATCTTGTCTCCCACGCGCTCTTGTTGATCGATCGCGAACTGTAGGCATGGGTTGATGTTAATCGGGAAAGCCTCCGCCCATGTCAGTCCGGTCGACCACCTGACGTGGTCAAGCTCGTTGTCCTGAGGACCCTGTAGCTGGTGCCCCGCGGGTTCATTGGGGTCCCACGAGATCCCGAATCTTCGCCACCACGAACATGCTCTTAGTACTGGTCGCGAACCGTCTGGGTGGTATCTCAGCTCGAACATGGGGAAGGGCTTCTCCTCGTACCACTGTTCGGTCGCCGCGGTCTTCACATGTAGGACCTGAGATGCGAGCAGGATAACGAACAGCAAGAACCTGCTCGTCGGGAGGTGCCACGAGTTGCCGAGCTGCCTGCACCTCGCTCGCTCTTGGACGGCCTTAGTGTAGCCCTCTGGGTAGTCGTGCAAGAACTCGCGAACTGTCGACGACGGCGGACCCATGCGACCCTTTTCTTCCACAAGAGCGTACGCTCGGTAGTGCCAAGGTGCGAACTGCTGTTGGTCCTGTCTCCAGCGGCTAAGAGTACTTGGCGATTCCTCTCTCTTGCGTTTCGGAGGAGGAGGCCTCCCGTCCTGTGTAGGTGCAGGTGTAGTCAAACAAGGAAACCGAACCGACCCGCTCTCGACCTGTTCGCTGAACTTTCCTCCTCTGCACAAAGTCGCGACCTGTTTAGGGAATCTCGCACTCGAAGGGATGAGTTCCCATTGGCGATTCCACTTTCGCCATCTTGCCATACCGGAAGCTATGGGTGGAGCTTCACCCGAGTACGGCTCTGGAGGGTGTATGTGTGTCGACCACCAGAGTCGTGGCCGGCTAATCAGGCCGAACGATGCTGCGTCCGAAATAAACGATCTGAGACCGAGAATCCCGTCCAGCGTGGCCTGGGTTTCTTTGGCCATCGTGACGTTCTCGATGAGCAGCACGACCTGAAATGGGCATGAATCGCGAAACGGGTGCCACCACCTCTCGACCCACTGGACGAACTTCTGCCCTTCGCAACCTGCTGTGCCCTTGGCTTCATTGCCCTTGATCTGGGAAAAATCAGGGCAAGGTGGAGCGCACGTCACGATCACCACTGTCGACGGTTCACACTGTTCCCTAAGCGCCTGGACTGCTTTCTGGGGGTCGGCGGACAACGCATCTCCTTGCGCTACGACCTGTGGGTGTCGTTGGCGGACCACCTGGATGCACTCTGGATCGAGCTCCCACGACCATGACACTTTTGGCTTGATGTGGAGGTCCAGCAGCGACTGATGTGCACTAGCGATGCCATCGAAGAACGACAAAAGTGCGATAGGTTTCTTGCACACATGCGGGGTGGCGGATTGACTTTCGGCCTGCTTCTGGGGTTTCTGCGAAACCTGTCCTGTCTCGGCCTGGATTACCTTCTGCGGCATTGCTGCTGGCCTAGAGTTCTGGTGGCTAGGGGCAGGGACTAAACCGAACCCAGGGGGGATCACGGGTTGTGCGGACGCTTGCAGTGACGCTCCCACGACTTGTCCGTCGACGGGAGCGGGCTGAACCTGCGAACCAACAACCGAAATGGGTTTAGGGGAAGAAACCCTAGGGGGCGGGGGTGGAAAAGGCTGGTTCCCGAGTGACGGTTGGTCGGGTATCGCCCGATCTCGGGCATGGCGCCCCGCGCTGTCCCTACGCCTGGGCCTGACCTGCGTTCTGCTGGGGCACTGGCACCGACGGCGGCTGAACATGGCTGAACTTGCACGAAGATCCGAACTTGCAAAAACCTGCGGCGAACAATCGGCAAGGAGGCCGTTGTTGGTTCATGGACTCGTACGGGGCCGTCTGGCGAAACTTGCCTTTGCCTCCCTTGCCGGTGTCCTTGGGCTTGCCTTTGCCCTCGTTGTCCTTGCCTTTGCCCTTGCCGTCGGGTGGCATCCAACGAGCGAGTGCGTCGTGCCTCTCTGTGCTCGTGTTGATCTTCTCGACGCCCTCCTGGAAGGAGCCCTCGGCCCTCATGTGCATCGCCAGGTCCCATGACGTCTTTCGGTAATACTCGCGAATTTGCGGTATTTTGCTTTGGTTATCGCGAACCAAGTTGATGAAGAAATCGACTAGCTGGCCGATGACATACTCTTCTCCCCACCTGGCGAAGACCATAGCCCAACGAACGGACTCGAAGGCGTCGATCACCGTTAAAGCTTTCTGCGGCTCTGGTACTCGTTTGTCTCGGCGGACCAAGCTTCCGGACGCGTCGAGGCTCAATGCATCCGAAAATCTGTCCTCCGATTTGGCCCAAGGGTTCACCTGGCGACTCGGTGTAAAGTTGCGGACAGAGATTATCTCCCCCAGTTTCACGGGACTGTAAAGGTGGGAGTGCTCTCTCTCGTAGACCATACGTGCGAGTGTCTCCTCGGCTCCCACCAAAAGGTGGGCCGGGAACTGTCTATTGCGACCCTCGATCTTCTCGGCCTCGTACTCCTTGACTCTCTTCACCCAGTAGCCCTTCGGAAGCTGCTTCGGCGCCTTGTTGGGGTCCGTACTCGAACTGGCAGTAGCAGGTAAGGTAGGAGGCGGACTCGGCGCAACTGCGGATGCGGCCATCTGGGCTGCCCTCTGTATACCGATCTCGTCGATCATGTGCTCCATCACTGCCGCTGCCACATCAACGCCGACGTCGTCCAACTTTAGGGTGTCGGTGCCGACCTTCACTCCCAACTTCAGAGGGGTCTGCGAACATGTGGAAAAAGACGCCGGAGTTCGTGATGCCCTTGTCCCGCAAGAAAATGATCACCTGCTTGTCCAGGCCTGACGCCACTGCGAGGTCCTCCAACTTCGGCAAGGTCACGGCGGTCGTTGCCATACTTGGTTTCAACTGAAGCTCTACCTTCTAAAGGTGGGGGCAGTCGACTGGCACGAAGCTTGAACACGTCCTGTTCAACCGAATTTTGCGAAAACTCGCAACAAGCTCGAAAGCGATGCATGCACCAAACGGCCGTCACAATCCCTTTTAGCTGCTCTCGCTGGATGCTCCGGACTCCTGCGAACTGGAGGACTCGGCTCTATGAAGGGGTTCCGACGCAAGTACTTGCTCGGGCCTTCTCTCACCGCGCCGCGGTGTGCACCACACCCACCGCATACCCTGCTCACGCCCATCCCGCCCACACCCAAAAGCTTCAGGGTCCAGGGAACCAGCCCGGCCCAGCCCAGGCTGCCTGGCTCCCTGCTGCCTGCCCTTTGCTGGCTGCCAAAAAGTTTGAAAGAAAAAAACTCCTTGAAAAACCTGGTAAAACTTCGACGTGTCGCAGGTGATTGCACGAACCGTAGAACCAGCGGCCACAAGAGGATACCCAATCGAAACTCTGAAGTGCCTGCTCATTCTCGCACGGCTTATGCGCGACCTTGGTCCTCGTGTTGTGTACGAAAACCGCCTTGCTTTGCCAGCATTCGGCGACCACCCGGCGTACGATTGTCTCGACCTCAACGTTGTTGGTCGTGCCGGCCTGTGTTGTTCCCGAAGACGACGAAGCTGCTTCACCTGCCAGCGCGGCGCGAACTTGTTGGGAAGTCCGGCTAGGTATGTACAGAGAGTCTTGCACATACCTCATAATTGACATCGAGCCCCAACGGCCCAGCACTTGGATAACCGGGAGACTTATCTCTGCGCGTGCGAACAATTGCGAGCCAGCGACACGAAAGCAGTGTTGCGACCACTTCTCCAAAGCAACTGGGCTCCAATCGGACAGTGTCTCTCTTTGAAGTACGAACGCGCACACTTGCGCCAACTGCGTCAGCTGCCGGGCTGTCGGAGGGTTTGGGCCCTTCCCGAAAAGAGGCTGCTCGGGATCGTACGACCCGGCCCTCCTTCGCTTCACGACCAGAGCCAGCAACGAGTGGAACACGCAAAGAACGTTAAAACCTCCTCTGCATCTACATCGCTGCAAGACTGTGAACATCACTGCCGAGTCGGTGTCGCCGGTGCACCCTGACTCGTGACTCGGGCGACATATGCAGAAATGCTTCCTTTCACAACCTTTGCCCTCCAAGTCGGTTTTGCTCACTGGCAATCGGACTGTAACTGAGCGTTCCTGACGATTGAATCGAACATCTGACCCAACGACATTTGCTATCTCGATGCCTCGTAAGAGGAACCAAGTTGCCGTGATCGCTGTGGTGTCTGGCTCCTCGAGGCGAAGCGGGATTGGCACCTCCAACTCTGAGTATGCACGGGAAATGGAACTAGCGAAATCGTTCTGGATCCCGTCGAAAAAGAGATCGAGCTTCGGAGACGAGGGGCCCATTCCCCGCGTGATCGACCTGATGGCCTGCGCCCTTGCTAAGTCCAACTGCTGCGACCAATCCCAGCCGGACTCGATATGCTTCGTCTTGGCAACCGAAAAGTACTGAGCGGCTGACCTGTATCTACCTGCCTTCAAGAGCGCGCCTATGCAATCGATCAAAGACACTGTGACCGGGAGGGGCGGCATCTGACGTTTGGCCGCCATTGCGGACCAAGTGGCCCACCTGCTCTCTCTCGGGGGGCTCGTGACGTCTTTGCGAACTTGTCCAGCTGAAACTCTCTATCGGCCTGTACGACGTCAAGATGAACTACGTCGTTCTCTGGGCCCTTGGCCAAGCCGATTCGTTGTAGCGAACCTCGAGCGTACGGGTGCACTGTAGGTATGTCACTTCTGGCGGACACTCTCGGCGGCCTTGCGAGAAACAGCCTATCCAACGCCACGTCACCCATTATTGTTCGCAAACGGGAACGCGAACAGTTCTCCACATCTCTTGCCGACTTGATTCCCTCGGAACTAAGGGATCGCAGAAAAGAAGAGTTGTCTGTGGCCTGCAGAATCTCGACCAAGCTTGCGAACCCACTCCGGTCCGACGAACATTGTATGTGAAACATTGCAGAAAACTAAAACAAAACTGGACTAGAGGGGGCAGTACTGCCCATACGTTACGGGTTAGCCATGGTTGCATGCGGAAGTTAACTGCACTGCACTTGCGACCTCAACTGCACTTGCGACCTCGGTTGCACTCTCGAACTTCTCTTTTTCTGCTGCGACTCGGGGAGGTCCTGTGCTCGGCTCTGCTACGGTGCGAACGTAAGGGCACGACCATCTAGTTACCCGAAACAACCCACCCCCGCCCCAAAAAACGAGCACCGAAAGCGGACCCTGAACACCTCCCCAGGGCCCCACACCGAACCCGAAGTCCGAAAGGGGAAACCCAAAACAAACCCTCGAACCGGCCGTGCCCTTACGTCGCCCTTGGGTTCAGCAGCTTATGCTGCGCGTGGCACGGACCGCAGAGGTGCTTTTCATGGGCCCGGCGAAAGCCTGGCTTGTTTTTGCGAAAACAAGCTTCTCCCCAGCATGCCGGACATCGCAAGCCGCATGACGTGTGCACGTCCTGGTAGTCCGGGGCGTGCTCGGCGAACGTTCTTCCCCAACCATCCTGCTGAGCATAAGGAGGGCCGAGAGGGTACGGCGCGAACTGAGGAGGATCCTGTGGTCCTGGTGGACCGGCCGCGATGATCTGGGCCAGCGTCCTATGTCCTCCCACTGTAGTCGGCGCCCCCGTACTGCCTGTGTCCGCGACTGGTGGCGACGAAGAGCTCCCAGCGGACTGCTGCACCGTAGGCGAACCTGTGGGCTGGCCATCGCCCCTGCTGCCCGAACTGCTCTTGGCGGACTGGGCCATGGTAGAAGGCGGCGACGGTGCTGTCGGCGAACTGCTTGGAGCGACCGGGGCCGGGTCTGACACCGTGGGAGGTGTAGTCGAAGTCGTCGAACCTGCTGCCGGGGCCGACACCATTAGCAGGGCGATCGCATCCTCCCCGGACAAGGGCTGTCCCGTAGACGGCGCAGGCTCGGCCGCCTTGGGTGGCGCCTGCACCGTGCCGTCCGCGTTGAAGGTCGGCGGCCTTTTGACCTGCTTCGGCTTCTGCGAACTTGCCGTTGAGGTTGCCGTCGAACCGGTCGTAGGCGCCGAGGTACCCGTTGTCCCGGATCGAGCCGGAGGCGAACCAGCTTTGGACCCCTTCGGCTGGTCCTTGGGGATCGGCTTCACCATAACAGTCTGACCGCTCTGCTTCGGAGGCGGACCTGTCGCCTGCTTCGAGAGCGGCTTTGCGAACGCCAGTGTCGCGGCCTTGGCGGGAGCTGCTGCATCTTGAGCCTTCGCCGCGGACTCCTTAGGAGGCGAACTGTAAGTCCAGGCTTCAGCTCGTCCAGCCGGCGCCGTCGGAGGTGCAGGCGAACTATTGCTCGCTGCTTGCACAGCATCATCGGACATGAGGTAGGCCCGGTGAGCACACGAACGGATCTTCACCAGGTCCTCGTCCCTCAAGCGTGGCAGCACGAACATAAGTTCTTCTTCACTCGCCTCCGCGACCTCGACAACGGCCGACCACAAGTGGTTGCGACGTGCTTCTGCTGTCCACGACATAGCTCAGAGCGACCAGCTAGCCTTTTGCTTTGCAACCTCGACCCGACAAAAGCTTCGGCGTTCTTCGAGCTGCGAAGCTAACGTGAAAAGCGAACTGAAACGAACGTGACTGCGTTATGCTTGTCACTCTTTGCACACGTGCAAAACACTACAACACAGCTTGGGAACAAGCGCTGCATTACAAACCCTAGATGCCGGTACCAATCCTCGAAACCATGAATACCCCTCAGAAACCCTGAAGCCCTAAACCCTCCGCGAAATCCAAACCGAAACCCGTGTAAAGCCAAACCCTGGAAAACCCTCAAATCGTAACCTTCAGGAAACTCTTATGCCCCAACAGCAAAAGAAATCCTTCAACCCCAGCCTTAAGGAAACCCTCATAAGCCCAAACACAAAGAAATCCGTAAAACCAACCTTCACGAAACCCTTGTAAACCCAAGCACAAAAATATCCTTGAACCCAAACCTTAAAGAAACCCATACAAACCCAAGCAGAAAAACATGCTTAACCCCAAACCTTAAAGAAAACCATACAAACCCAAGCACTTGAAGCCAAACCTTGAAGAATCCCCTATAAGCCCAAACCCAAACCTTCAAGAAACCCCTACAAGCCCATCCAAAATCCGGAAGCCCGAAATCGCGAGAGCTCTGAGGCAGCGGCGGCCAGGGTACTGGTGGAGGTCCAGGTAGAGGAGGCCTGATTTGAGCTTAGGAACTACAGTAGAAGCCAGAAAGTTGGAATATCATTATCGTAACCCTTTTAAGGTAAATTATAGGGGACCCTACCATTAATCCATATTCCAACTTTCTGGAGTTCCCTTTAAGGGTTTATTGTTTGGGGTTCCAGGGTTTAGGTGTTTAGGGGTTTAGGGTCCAGGGTCTATAGGGCCTGAGGCTTAGGTGAGGATTGAGAGTTGAAGTTAAGGGCTTATGGACATTCGAGTTGAGAGTGAAGGGCTTCGAAGAGGCCTCACGCCGGCGAAGTCAGGGGCGCAATATCGGCTGCAAGGGTTCGACAAGAGGTTCGTAAGGTGTAATGGGGGCTTTGTCTCACTGGCCCAAAACCCAAGGAAATAGAAGTTGAAACTTTCAGAATCGACTACCTTATTAGAACCCCAAACTAAACCCTCAAGCCTAAACCAGTTGTAGAGCCTGATCAGACTTCCGATCTGGCTTTGTTTGGTAGGGTCTGTTTAGTGAAGCGCAGGGTGCTTTTAAAGGATTTCCACACGGGAGTTTCCGAAAATTCGGGGTACCTTAGGGTTCCTTTAAAGGGTTACCATATGGGTACTATAAGGGTTCCTTTAAGGGGCTCTATAGGGGGTTTTGAGTTTCCGAAGATAGGGGTACCTTTTTGGGGGGTCCCATCTTATCAAGGATCCGATTACTTAGGGTACTAGATTAGGGTCCCCTATTTTCGGAAACTCCCATATGGTTTCGCAGGGCTTCAACCGTTCTGGCAGGAGGGGCCTGGCGCCGCTGCCTTGACCCTGCAATGCAACATAGGGGGTCGGAATAACTAGTCATACTGCTGATGGACAAAATCCTGCATGACCCTAAGGACTCTAAACTATGGGAACTATGGTATATTCCTTATAATGGGTAATGCAGGATTTTGTCCATCAACTGTAGTAGCATCCCCTTATCGCTCCTAGGGTCTAGGGTTTAGGGCTTAGTGCCTTTATAGTCTCACCCCAAGATACCCTAAGCTGCTCGAAGCACCCAAGGCCCCAACAGTAAATTCCTTGCGGGGTGTTCTATATACAGAAATCCTGAGCTGACCGAAGTACATACGCTGAGGTATGGAAACGACGGGAAACTCCTGGTTTGGGACAATGCAGGAGTTTGTCCATCGGCAGCCGAGGATAGCTACTATACCATTGATTGGCAGGTCCAAGTAGATTGAAATCCCGGATTGAGAAGCTTGGACGTTGAAAGCCTTGATTTTTCTTGGAGGGGGAAGATAGCATATTACGGCTGAACGATGTCTACTGTGCTTGCGGTCAATGTTTACTTGGGAGTTTCCGTAAATGGGGGACCCGAATATAGTACCCTAAAACTAAAACATAGGATCCTTATTTTGAGGACTTCTCGGAAACTCCCACTTCCGTGAAACCTTCAATCCCTAAACCCTAAACCCTAAGCCCAGGAAGAGAAGCGTCGTGTCGGGCCGACGCCTTCGTGCTGGTGCTTTGCGTGATGATGTCGGCGTCGTCGTCTTCACAGATGTTCTTCCTTTCCTGCCGGTACAGGGTTTAGGGTTTAGGGTCGAGGAGGATGCTCAAAACATGACATCTGAACAAAAGGGTGGGAAAAGAAGGAAAAAACATAACGAACATAGCACTGATGGCGAAGTATGGTGATGATATCGATGATAATGCTGATGATGATGATGACAGGGTGCAGTATCCTTCTCATTTTGGTGAGTTGCAGCTAGCCAGGGCCAGACGCTTGAGGAGCACGCGCCTTCATCGGAAGCTCCAGAGCATGATGCTTTGGAATCATCTTCGTCGGAGGGAACACCACCTGAGTTCTTCCGTGAGGACCAGATGACGAGTGCTACCACCCTAAACCAAAAATAAAACCCGAAAACCCAAAGCCCTCAACCCTAAACAGCGGTCTATGTTTCGATTTGGCCTGCAGCTGAACGTGTATAAAGCAAGGCCTTCACCCCCACTATAAAAAAAGAACACAAAGCAATCACTAAAGCCCCGACCCCGCCCTCCCCCCCCCCAAAAAAAAAAAAGTGTATATATATATATATATATATATGTATATATACTAATATCAATAGTAGAAATAAAAGAAGCCTCAACGATCCCCAAAGCCCCCAAAGAGCAGCCGAGAAAATCCCTGGAAGCCGGGCTCCCGGCTTCAGACTCATGTGCGGTAGTGGAGCTCGTGCAGCCCATGACTTCCAAAAACCCTCATCGGGGAGCGCGAAGCTCAGGGCTTGAGGGTTTAGGGGTTTAGGAGTTTAGGGGTTTAGGGTTGAGGGTTGAGGGTTTAGGGGTTTAGGGTTTAGGAGTTTAGGGGTTTAGGGTTTAGGAGTTTAGGGGTTTAGGGTTTTAGGGTTTAAGGGTTTAGGGTTTAGGAGTTTAGGGTTTGGGAGTTTAGGGGTTTAGGGTTTAGGGTTGAGGGTTTAGGGTTTAGGGTTTAGGGGGGAATAGGATTTTGGCAGGGAGCCCTCCCAACAAGACTTAGGGATTGAGGGCTCCAGAGTGCTACGGGTTTGAATGTTTGGACGCTTGTGAAGGGTCTTAGGATTGAAGGTTTCAAGTCTAGGGGTGTCAGGGGTTCGGATGCCCAGCTGGCATCTCAGAAAGCTATACACCTAAAGGGTCCATGTACCCAAACAGGGATCCTTCAAGGGTCGCTTTAAGGGTTACTATAAGGGCTCTATAACGCTTTAGAGCATCAGGGTCCATGTGCCCAAATAGCATATACATTGGCCCCAAAGTACCTCTACAGAGACTACTTTGAGGCCAAATTATATTTTATATACTACTTGGGTACATGGACCCTTAGGGTAAGCGTTGCATCGGCAGCACCTTCTACGGCCGATAGACGAAATCCCACATCACCTCGACGAAACTATGGAAGTAATGGTAGAGATTTTTCTAAACCCTCAACCCTAAACCCTAAACCCTAAAGGGGATCTGACCAGGGATTCCTCAAGGTTCCTAAACCCCACACCCTAAACCCTCAACCCTAAACTCCTAAACCCGCAAACTCCTGAACCCGTAAACCCCTAAACCCCTAAACTTAACCCTCAACCCTATACCATGGGCCGCCCGCGCCAGGCGGCGGCCGGTACCACTGATTTGGCAATGCTAGCCATGGGGCACCGTATATAATGGAGTTACCCTTAACCCCTAGCGCGCGACCCCGGCGGGCCTCCTTACGGGACTCCCTTACGGGACGGAGAGGCATGGGACGGGGGGCGCTTACGGGACGAGCGTCCTTACGGGACGGAGGCGCTAACAGGACGGAGGCGGTTAGGCGCTTACTGGACGAGCCTCCTTACAGGACGCCTCTTTACAGGGGGAGGCGCTCACAGGACGAACGTCCTTACGGGACGGAGGCGCTTACAGAACGAGCCTCCTTCTGCGGGACAAGGCGCTTACAGGACGAGCGTCCTTACGGGACGGAGGCGCTTACGGGACGAGCCTCCTCACGGGACGGAGGCGCTTACGGGACGATCCTCCTTGCGGGACGGAGGCGCTTACGGGACGAGCCTTGCACGGACTTCTTTTTACGGCACGGAGGCGCTTACGGGACGAGCATCCTTATGAGACGGAGACGCTGACGCGCCTCCTTACGCGACTTCTTTTTTGCAGGACGGAGGCGCTTACAGGCTTTACGGGACGGAGACGCTTACGGGACGAGCCTCACGGGACGGAGGCGCTTACGGGACGAGCCTCTTTACGGGAGTTCCTTTTGCGGGACGGAGGCGCTTACGGGACGAGCGTCCTTAAAGTATACGGGACGGAGACGCTGACGAGCCTCCTTACGCGACTTCAGGCCTTACGGGACGGAGGCGCTTACAGGCCTTACGGGACGGAGGCGCTTACGGGACGAGCCTCACGGGACGGAGGCGCTTACGGGACGAGCCTCTTTACAGGACTTCCTTTTGCGGGACGGAGGCGCTTACGGGACGAGCGTCCTTACGGGACAGAGGCGCTTACGGGACGAGCCTCTTTACGGGACTTCCGCTTGCGGGACGGAGGCGCTTACGGGACAAGCGTCCCTACGGGACGGAGGCGCTTACGGGACGATCCTTTTTGCGGGACGGAGGCGCTTGCGACGAGCCTCCTTACGGGACTTCTTTCTTCATTTATAGCGTTAAGGGGCTTTCTCAAAACGGTACTTCTGGTAGTTGGATACCCATACGATAAAATACAAAAACACTCAGAAACATATACAAACCCTCGAAATCATACGATAAAGTTCGTTTTTAATTCAAACCAGATTTGTGATTTTTTTGAATGACGGGGAGCT